TTTATTCTAAGTAAAATGTCATTTCCGAAAAATAGAAGCGTAAGTGTTTCAAAAGGTTTAATGGGCGGTGGCAGATGTGAAGTTAAATTCACCAACTCAAACAAACAGTCCAAAGTGTTGTTGTCAATGTCAAAGAAAGAGATGTTGAAGTGGGGAAACCATACGAAGACGAAGATGGTATAACAATAGTTCCTGTAAAAGAACAACCAACATATCCTGAAGTTAGCAGAGACTTAAGTTCTGTTGCAGATATTCGAAACGACTACCAACAACTGAAAGACAAACTTAAACTCAGGAGAAGATTTGTCAAAGGCTTTAGGTATAATGTTAAACTTGGTCGAAACACAACCCTGTAAAAGTGAACTCATATGTCATTGCACCTCATGAAATTTTGAAAGAATATTGAAACTTTTGACAGAGGCAGACGATATAAACATCAAAGAAATAGAACCCGACATTAGTTGCTGTGGTGTTTCATATAATGTCATTGACAAGATATACGTTATGAAAGGAGGTGAAACGTTGAACTTAAAATATAGTTTCCCAGACGTCATAAAAATATTTGACGACCACAACATTTCATTAAAATTTATTTGCTAAGTAAATGGCAGAAGACACAATGGTTTATACTATTACGACTAAAAACCCTGAGTCATATAATTCTATAACAACAAACTTACAAAGTCCTCAAGGACGATATTGTAAACTAACCTTAAACACAATGACGACTAAAGCCTGTTTTGCTCTTTTGACACCAGAAGATTTATTGTTGTGAATGGTAAAAAATACTCCTTTGAAGATACTTACTCAGATATACCACAACAGGTTTTGTTGACTTATTTAATACTTTAAGGACGGATGTAACATGTGCTGCAACTAGAGCAGGTTTCATTATGTTTGGATGTCCGACTGAGTTTAGTATAAACGATATGAGCTATAATACAAAACTTATATCTGGTTTTTACTACCAACAGTTTCCTATAACAGGAAAAGGTGTCATACAAGGAATGTCTATTCCATTGACATTAAGCACACCAATCTTATATATTGTTTCAAACTTAGGTTCAAAGTGCTATTCGAATGTCGACAGAAACTATTATGACCAAAGATACTTATGCGTATAAACAACTTTCTCTGCTGGTTTGCCTATTGTTCATTCGAATGCAGAATTTTCAACTTTAGTGAACTCAAACACTTTGGCAAGTATAACGTTGACATTAGTTGACGCAAACTTTGTTCCTGTAAAACTTTTATGTCCTATGTATTTGTCAATGACGGCAGAAAGTTTCGAATTGGAAGATGCAACTGGTGAAAGTATTGTATTACAAGAACAACTTCAACAACAAATAGCTCAAGAAACACAATGCAACAAATGCAACAACAAAGTCAAGAATAAAAAAAATATTATTTTTTTTTATTTTTATAAAAATGTACAGAATAGATGTTTCAGATTTTTATGACTTCCAAGCATTCAGAAATATGTGTCCATTTAGAGACTATAACAAAGCAGTCGAGAATTTGAAACGTTTAGTCATTTATGTTGACTCTGCCCCAGAATGTTATGTCATGAAAGAATGGGATGTTGTCTTTAACAAACCAAGAGCGACAATTGTTCTGAACAAGAATGTAGACAGAAACTTAAGAAAATAAAAGTCGTACAAGTTGGCATGAAGATGTTAGATGCTTGGGATATCTTATTGTCAAAATTGAAGATTTTTCAGTTCGTGGTATAAAGTTTTATACACCTCTCCAAACTTCTATTCTATCTTCACTGGATATAAATATGAACAAGTAGAATGGAAAGAAAATATTATAGAAGCTTGGTTAGACCATGTCAAAGAAATTATATGCAATGGAAACGAAAGAGTCTATGAGTATATCTTTGTTGGTTTGCAAACATCTTACAACATCCAAGTGCTAAAAATGAAACTGCTCTCATTATAATTGGAAAAACAAGGAACAGGTAAGATACTTTCTTTACAGATATTTTGTGCAAACTGTTAGAGGGCTATTCGAATCCGAATATGACAAACTTAGAAAACATCTGCGGTAAATTTAACTCTTCAATTGAGAATATGAAACTTATAGTATGTAACGAACTTCAAAGTATAGATACAACAAAAGTTTTAAACTCAGATGCTTTGAAGAGTCTTATAACAGACAAAGTTGAGTTGTTGAAAGAAAGTATAAAGACCAAAGAGTTTGTGAAAATGTTGCAAACTTTCATTATGGTTTCAAACAATACTGTTCCGATGAAGTTAGAAAGTTCTGACAGAAGATATGTAGTTGTCAGAACGTCAGATTCTCATATGCAAGATACAGAATATTTTGACGACTTAGCAGAAACTTTTGACATCTGACTTTTACAACCACTTGTTCTCATATTTTATGACATTAGATATTTCTAAGTTCAATCCAAGACAAATTCCATATACCGAAGAGAGACAAACATTGTTAGAAGCAAACAAGAGTGTATATGAACTGTTTATAGATGAAACTGAACTTTGTGTCATTAGATGAAAGGTCATTGTACGATGAATATAAACAATATTGTCAAGAATATGGTTATATGGCAGCTTCTAAACGAACATTCTTGGCAAATGTCAAAAATCTTTTAGATGTTCAGAACGGCGTATATACAAAGAAATAATTTTTATGAGTAAATTTAAAAAAAATATTTTTTTTATCCGATAGAAAAGATGACGAAATATATTTCAGTCAACAAATATATGTCAGGACTTAAAGAAGAACTAGACCCATTCGCTTATTTGAATGTTTACTTCTACCATTTTGAAAAGTCTTCATTCAGCAAAGTTTGGAACATCGAACCAGTTAAGTTTGCTATTGTGACTAAAAATGGTGCGAAATTTGAAGACTTAGACATAGAAGGTTTGTTAGCAGTCAAAGAAAATTTTGACAGAAGGTTCTCAAACCTTAAAGAAGGCAAAGCATACAAACTTGTTATACCTTATGAACCAAAGAAAGCAGACGACTATGAATATTATGAGTCTAAGATAGTTGAAGTTCAAGGTAAATTGGGTAAAAAGATTTTAGAGTCTAAGCCAGTGTTTGCTCCTAAAGAGGAAGAGAACATTGACATTGACCCAGAAATGTTCTAAAAATAAAATTTTATTTTTACATGTCAAATTTCTTTTTCTCTGGCTCTGGTTCAGGTTCAGGTTCTTTCTTCTCTTCTACTTTTTTCTCTTTCTTTCCTTTCTTCTTCTTCTTCTCTGGTGGAGTTATGTCAAATTTGGCGCAACCATATTTATGTAAAAGTTCTTTGTCCTTTAATAGCTCATCTATTCTGTTTTCTATTTCATCTTCAAGAACAGCGCATGTGTCTTCTTTGCATTCTAAGAACTTTTGTTGGACTTCATCTTTCCAATCGGCGTCATCTCTGTCAACAAGTCTGTCATTGACAAATTTTAAGACTGCTCTTTGTAATGTTTTATGGTTCTTGTCATATTCCCAGAAACAGAACTTTAGAACAAATTCACCTTTCTTGTTTACACTATGTAAGATTTTATGGTCGACAGATGTTTTGCTGTCGAAAAGCTTGTCTCGAATATAGATAGCGAAATCGCTAGACATTTTCTAAAAGATAAAAATTTTAATTTTTCTAAAAATATGTTAGAAAAAAAGTTTGCTGACATTGACAAGAAATTTGAGAATGTTTTAAACAAGAACAAGAGAAAGTTAGAAAATGCTCAGATAAAGCCTATACATGACAAGTTCTTATTTGCTCAGAATGGTATAACAGGTCTAATTGCACCACCTGGGTCGGGTAAGACTTTCACTTATCTTAAAATGGCTGCACAACAACAAGAACTAGATGAGAAGAACCCATTCTATGAGTTAGTTGTTATTTGTAGTACTTCTGGTCAATTTGACCAAACCGTCAATTCGTTCAAAGATATTATAAAGAAGTCTAAGTTAGTATGTATAAAGGATACTGAGTTGTTAGATTGGATAAAGAAGTACCAAAGAAGAGTTTTGAAGTATAATGCTATAAATGAGTATATAAATTCGAAGTTTAAAGACCCAAATGAGGAAATGCAGAGAATATTAGAGAAGAAACACTTCAGAAACAAACAGAAAGAGATAGAATACATTTCGAAGAAATTGCAATCTTACGATTGGAAGACATACCCTCACAGATGTCTTCTTATCTTAGATGATTTCGCCTCTCATCCTTTGTTAAAGAATAGAGAACAAGATATGTGTCGAATTCTTAAGAAGCTCAGACACTTTAACATCTCTGTTGTCATTTGTGTACAGACAGCAAAGAGTTTAAGTAAGGATGTTAAAAGAATACTTACTGACATTATACTTTTCCCTGGATTGTCCGAAGACGATTTCATGGAACTTATGAAAGAGTCCATGGCAGGTAAGTTTGACAGACATGAACTATGGGAGAAGTACAAAGTCATACAAGACCCTCATACTTCTTTCAGAATTCACATCTACGCGAACAAAGTTCAAATTGTAAAAAGTCAAGCTTGAAAAATAAATGGTTCATCTACCCTACTTGTTTGAAGTTGTCAAAATACTCTGTTATTTTTCACGATTTTCATGAGTTTGGCTACCCCTGTAAAAGTCGGTCTAGAGAAATTTCATGAAATTTGGTCATTTTTTTCAGCAAAAATATATTTTAGGGTAGAAGGGTATATCTACCCCGTTTTCTACCCTCATTTCTACCCCAGTTATTTTATAAACGTTTCACATGGTAAACGTTATTTTTTAAATTTTGTGAAAACTCAACGGTTTGACACAAGCCCTAAAAATTATTTTACTCAGAATTTTGTTGCTGAATTCAGCAAAAATAATGTTTAGGGTAGAAGGGTATATCTACCCCGATATCTAACCTCTTTTCTACCCCAGTTATTTTATAAGCGTTTTACATGGTAAACATTGTGAATTCGTGAAATTCTAAACAATTTCGTAGCTTCTATTTCTTCTGTCAGTACATCGAATGTTTTAACAATGCCGAAGGTTTCTTTATATTTCTTCTTGACATCTGAAAGAAGGAAATCGTCAGCTGTTGGATAGTTTTTGTTTAGAAATGTCAACATGTCCATTTTATCTTCTGCTGGTTTCTCTGCCTCCCTCTTTAAGTCAGCATAGTCGTTTCTCATACGTTCTATCTCTTTGACGGAGTAGTTATATTTCCTAATTGCTGCCTTACATTTAGAACATTGTGGGTTCATTTTTGCGTTATATTCTGAAACCTTACCTGCTAGTATGACTAAGGCGTCAATTGCTCTCTTTAACTCAAAAGCTGCTGGTTTTATTTGTTCATTCCATATCTTACCTCTTCTATCTTTATCTCTTATCTGCCATACACATTCAGCAACTAACGAAACAAAGTTGTCGTAGGTCTTAAACTCCCCAGATTTGTATATGTCAGAGATGTTCTTATATACCATATCGCAATCTTTGTCCATGACTTTGTGGTTGCAATGAAATCCAAGAAACTCATAGTTAACCTTTCGTATGAACTTCTTTATTTCTACTGAGTCAGTTGCTTTGACTTCTATTTCATCGAATTCTGGAATAGTAAGCTTTTGTTGCTGGATTTCAGGCAATTTGGGTAAATGGTCGATGAGGTCCTGCATGTCATAAAGATACTGTTCATTTGTTTCATCTTTCGCACAACAGTCCAAAGTACTTGTTAAAAGTTCTTGCTTTATCTTCTGGATTTTTGTTTCGAAAGTATATGAAGAAGGAATGAAGCTTTTCATCTCTACTAACATTGAAGTTGGGTTCATGACTAACGAGTTTGGTGCTGTTGTTGCTAACATGTTCTTACAATAAAAATAAAAAAATATTTTTTTAAAAAAACCAACTTTATTTTTTATTTCGGGAAAACTCATGACAAATTCAAGAGGGTAGAAAAGAGGTTAGAAAAGAGGTTATATCTAACCTTCTACCCTAAAATATATTTTTGCCGAATTCATGAGTTTTGGTTGAAAGAATACGGTGGAGCCAAAAGTGGCTCGACCTCAAAACAAGCATTTTCTGTATAAAATTCATGAAAATTCAAGAGGGTAGAAAAGAGGTTAGAAAAGAGGTTAGATATACCCATCTACCCTAAATTATATTTTTGCTGAATTCAGCAACAAAATTCAAATTGTAAAAAGTCAACCTTGAAAAATGTAAGTGTTTAGTCTTAGTAAGATGGTAGCTTCTTAAAGCAAATACCATTGCTGAGTTTTATGTACGTGAAGAGAAGTACAATGAATTCAATTACGAGTACAATTGCAATGACAACTAAGGCAACTATTTTTGTCTTTTGCCAGCAAGGGTACTTCTTCTCTTCCAATGGTTCGGCAGAACTATACTCACTCATGAGAAATGCCAAAACGGTTTAATAGAAAAAGTGTTATTTTTTCATGTCCGAAGACTCGAAGGTGCAACACTTCCAAAATACCGACGAACTCAGAAGAGCAGCATGGCAGTATGTTCTTGACAACTTCTTTGAGTTCTCCAGGCACACCTTGGAAAATGCTGAAGAACTCCGACACAGAGAATTTGGAGAAATTGCACTCCAATACTACATTGACAAACAAAGGGTAAACAAAGGGTAAAATAAGACTAAAAACTTAAGGTTTAAAAAAGTGACATTTTTATGAGCTCCGAGTCACCGAGAAAACTTGGTCAGATGTTAGCAGCTTACTTCCCTGAGGAGGATGGAAGCGTTACATACGTAAGGTTCAAAAACAACGAACCTGGAATTGCGTACCAAATTCGCAATTACATGACCATGGAAGAGTACGAAAGGTTTCTACAAGAGAAACCAGCTCTAAACAACTCAGAAAAGAAAGAATAAAAAGTTTAACTCGTAATTGTTTATTTTTTTACTTGTATGGGCAAGCTGCAAGAATGAAGTCGACTATCTCGGTCTTTGTCTTGACGAGCTGGACTGCTCTTGCGAGTACGTCTGTTTTGCGGTCTCCAGCTGGTGTCTGACCTTCGTAATTGCGCATGTTCTTGAGAGCTCCAACTGTAAATGGTTGTAGGATGAAGAGTCTCTCAGACTGCTTGAGGTAGTCTTCACGGTCACGAACCGAATCTGTGGTACGAGTCGAATCGGTCGATTTGAGGGAAGAGACTGAAAGCCTGTCTTCTTCCATTGGGGTAGTAGCATACTCTTTGCGTAAGCGGTTCAGACCTTCCTCGAACTCTTGGTCTCTCTTGGATTGAGATTGGAATTGTGGGGCAGGGTTTTGCATAAACATCCAAGGGTTGGGGAAGTAAGGCATAGGCTGAGGAGGAGGGTAGTTCGGGAAGCCTTGTGGTAGGTAGTAACCTTGAGGTGGAAATTGGTAGTAATTTGGTGGAGGGACTTGCTGGAACTGAGGTTGCTGAGGTGCAGGGGCTGGTGCTTTAGGTTCCTCTGGTTTGGGAATGGGCTCGGTTGGTGGTACGTCGGACATCTGTTTGTGGCTTAACCGTCGGAAGGAAAAACCTTTCCTGTCGGAAGGAAAAACCTTTCCTGTCGGAAGGAAAAACCTTTCCTGTCGGAAGGAAAAACTTTTTCTGAAGTTCGACCAAAAGTTCTCAATTTTCGAAAATTTGAATGGTTTACGGACGGACAACTGGAAGAGTCCTTCCTGTCGTCGGGAAAATTTTTTCCAGTTGTCGGGAAAATATTTTCCTGTCGGATGGAAGGACTCGGAATACCAGAAGGATTTGACGAGGCAATTTACCTTATAGAGATAAATGAAGTTGTTAAGCAGTACTTGCGCAGGGTAATGAAGCCCAAGGTCAAGTTCACCACTATTTCTGGAAGGTCTACACTTCAGCTCGAGACTTCGACTGGAATTCCAATTCAAATACCAGACGGGACAGCCTACGATGGCATAAAGGACGCCAAAAGAGAAGCTCTTGTTAAGTTCCTAAACAAACGTCCTTGGATAAAAATACCAAACAAGGAGAACCCCCTACCCCATATGAAATTGGCAATTCAGTCTCTCCTTCACTTCTCGGGTCAGCCGTTCTACATAACCTGTGAAGGCGACATCCAACCAGTTCAGTCAACCTTAACGTTTTGAGTAAAAACATTTTTTTTCATTTTTTGAATGAAGCAAGTTAAATTCGTCCCACACCAATCTCAATGGACCGATGAAGAGTTTCAAGCCATGGTTGAAGGCGTTGAGAACGACATAGACGGCGAACTTGAAGGAGCTCAAACCACAATTGCAACCAAAATTGCACAAGTCAAAGAAGAGATAGCTCCACTTAAAGCTACCAAAGCTACTCTTGACCTCATGGATACTTACCGTTTAGATATCAAGAGAGGAATAAGACAATTAAAATTAAAACTCTTAAATTACGAAGCTATACTCCAGAAGTTAGCAGAGATGAGAAGACTTTACCAGAGCTACTTACATGTAAGGGACTTACCTTCAAGCAGTCCGACCAAAGATGAATTTTCTGACATTGTCCCAATTTTGTCCGAAAGTCAGCTCAGATGTTTTGAACTGCTCCCAACATATCCGGAATATGAACGTTTGCCTGAACTCTTCCGCAATCTCAAAAAACGTTTTTGGTTCTCATGTTCGAAACTTTTATCGGAAGAGACAACAAACGTTCAGAAGAAGAACAAGATATTATTTAAACTTGTTGTATGACTTAACCGTCATAACAAGCTTTTTGAAGTAAAACCGTCATTCTCAAACCACTTCATTTTTTCGATGTCCGAACAAGCACCGAAGCCGAACACAATGGCAGATGTCCTTTCAATGTTGCCAGACAAGCGCCCAGTTCAAATTCAAATTTTGAATTTGAAAGCTCATCTGACAAACACCGTTAAGACTCTCCAAAGTAGTCTTATGGAAGAGATGACCAAGCTCAAAGCCGATGTCCTCATGAACCAAGCTTCCAATGAGAAATGCCTGAATGATTTGACGGAAACCTTGCGCATTTACGCGAGAGAGAACCGAGACCTTGCCAGACTCATCTACCGTTTCTTCGAAGAGATAGACGCCATCTGGAAGGTACTCGGAAAGGACAGAACCTCCAACACCGTAATTCGTGAGTACCAAATTGAAGAAGGAATTTTCGAGGAAGAAGAGAAACACGAAGAAGAAGAGAAACACGAAGAAGAAGAGGAAGAAGAAGAGAAACACGAAGAAAAGGAAGTTTGGGCAACCCTTGTTGCCGATGACAGTTATGAAATTTCCCAACCCTACCCATACAAAATCCGCAACAAGGAGACAGGCAAGGTTCTTACCCCAGTCCTCAACAACTTGGGACACTTGAACCTTAACCTTCGGAATCGCGGTTCAATCTCCATGGGCAAGCTTGTCGCAATTCAATGGGTTCCAAATCCAGGCAAGAAGACGAAGGTCAGACACATTGACGGTGACAAGCTCAACAACCGTAAGGAGAACCTCGAGTGGTTCTAAGAGTAAAAAAATTTTATTTTAGGGGGAAACCCCGAGTAAATTTAGGTGTTTATTTAGTTAAGTAGCTTAAATTAATGAGAATTTGGACAAGTAGTTCCTGACCCCTGAATTGGACTCTTTCGTCATCCCAGTTGCCTAGGAGGTCGTCCCAGAGGAGTTGGTAGAATTGCCAATCCAAGGACGATTTGTCCTCCCAGGCATTGAGGATGTACTGCTCGTAGAGTTTCATGACCTCTGCCTTGCACCAGACACCCTCTCCCTTGGAACGTAAGGCTTCTTCGAAGTGCTCGAATGCGATTGGCTGCGGGACCATCTGAAATGACACTTTTTGTCCGTTTGGTCAATGTTCGTGTCTCGTGTCATAGTCGACGAAAATACAAACAAACAGGTTATATATGAGTTTGAGACCAAGAATGGTGTAACTCGACCTGTCCGATTCAAATTCGAATAAAAATTTTTTACTTCATGCAATGTTTTATTTCTGTGCCGTCTTCAAGTATGCCCCAGTACTTACGCTTGGAGAGGACATGAACTTCGGTGAAAATTTTGTCCAATTTGAATTGACCCATCTTTTCACCGACCATGCCCATTTCAATGAGTTTGTTGTACCCTTCTTCGTTCGTCATGAGTGCGTCAATGTTCTCATAGTAAACCACAACTTTCGATTTGACTTCGGAGAAGAATTTGTTGTAGTTGTCAAGGACTGCTTTTGCGAACTGAGGGTAAGACCAATGTTCGACAATAGGTTTTAATGTGGTTACTAAGCCACTTTGACCTTGAGTGAATTCGTACTTCAAAACAAAAGGAGAAAACCTTTCAACAAAGTTGTCGACCTTCTCATAATGTTTACTCTTCATCTCTTGAGGTTTCTTAATGGAATATCCCCATGTCGAATTCATAAGCAATTTGAGTGTCATTGCAAGTTTGGGGTTTGAAGCTTTCCTAATATCATACAGTTGTTGTATGACTTTTCCAACTGTATAGTTCCTTCCCGAGAACTCACCATCTTCGTTTGGAATTCCAGTCGGAATATATTGGACAAACCTCATGTATGCAGCGTTAAGGTCGACATAGTATATCTTTTCATCTGAGTCGAACTTGTCGCAACCAATTGGTCCAGTTTGTGGAAATTCAAGTGAGTCTCTTATCTTCTGAGAAACTTCTCCTGTTATCTCATAAACATCGTCGAAGCAACCTGTTTCATATAAAACCTTCTGACCTAACTCAGATGCTCTCCAATACAATTTGACGTCAATTGGATGTCTCAATGGAAGTTTGTTTATAGCATCTTGAAGTTCTTGCAACCTCATTGGAAGTTCTTCTGGTTCAGGTTGGTATCCGAACAATCCAACTCCTTTTGGAATTGTGTACTTCTTTTGTACTAGAACTTTGTCTGGAACAACTTTTGGTCTTGCTAACAGTGAAAAGTTTGTTTCGTCTTTTGGTACAAAAGTTTCTGTCAGCTTGTCATCTGGAATTGGTTCCAACAAACCTTTCTCGAAAAGAATGTTTACAGCTCTGACAATGTTGCACTTGCCTTTTCCGAACAATGGGTTTGTAAGACTTTCGTTCAACATGAAGTGGTTGTGGACAATTGCAATCTTCAACCATGGTAAGTCTTTGTCAACAACATAGTCGTCATGTGAAGAACCTTTAGCTGTAGGTATGTTGACTCGGATATTGACATTTGCCAACGGTGCAATTTTTGACAATTGACCTCTGAGAATGTACCTTGTCTTCACACATGACTCAAGATACTTCATTTTCTCATCTGTAACAAGACCAGAGTTCCTGAGACATGTAAGAATACAAGGTTCATTGACAATTGTTTCAATTGAATTGTAAATTCCATACCTTGTCAAGTCAATGTCAGACTTATTTATGAAGGGGAAGTATCCAGCATGTTGTCTGACTGCTTGAGGGTTAGGTTGGTACCATTCGAACTTGACACTTGCAATTCCTTCAATTGCATTCAAAATGTCTGAGTCGGAGTCAACCATTTGTTCTCTCTTTGTAGTCTTGAAAGCGTCAAGAAGCATTGCAGCTGTTGTGACATTGCCATGTGCATAGTAAATGTGACCATCCAAATCTGTTATGGTCAATCTGAGATTGTATCCTTTCTTATTTCCATCTTGTATGGCAGCAAGTACACCCATGAAGCCTTCTTTGTTCTTTCCTTCTTCAAAATTTACTGTAAAGGTTCGACCAGATGTAATTTGACTTCTAACTTCACGATACTTTTCATATGCATATCTTGTTCTTTCCATGGGAGCATGTGCGTCTTCACCTTTTCCTTTTTTCCTTCTCAAGGGATGCAACTGTTCGTTATGTTTCCAGTAGAACCTGGCAAAGCCGTCGTGTCCTTCAACCTGTGGCTCAGTAACATCGAAAGGCATGTCCATAAGACGTTCTTCTTCTAACCTCTCTAACCTGTTTGGATAATTTGTGCGTGCTGTTTCCAAGTCCATTTCATAGGTCAGACCAGACAGTTTGTCATAGACTTTTATGGGTCTTCCCTTCCTATATTTAAACTTCTTCGAAACTTTCCAACCATATCTTTCTAACTCTGCTTTTATTCTAGCAGATTTTCTATCCATTCTATATGGGGGCATTTTTATAAAAATAAAAAAATGTTTTTTCTTTACTTTACGTAACCGCCTGCTGCCATAAGTCTTTGACGCCAACCCATACCAGCTAATGAAGGTTGACTTGGTTTAGTTTGGAAACTAAACTTTGGTTTTGGTTTATCTTCAGTTTTTGGTTTCTCTTCTTCTATCGGTTTTTCGTCACTTTTCGGTTCCTCTGACTTTACCTCACTTGCAGGAATAGTAGTGTCGTTAACATCTTCATAAATATCATATGCCATTTGTTTTTGTTTTCCTTTCAACTTTTTGTGTTTGTTGTAAAGTTTAGAATATTTTGACTCTAAGTCAATGAGATGTTCTATAATGAACTGTTGGTCAGTGAAGTAAACTTTTCCATCTGTTGTCTCGAAAGCTCCTTCAGACTTCAATATTTTATTTGTGAGAGTTTGTTTCTTTTTTGAGATACTAGCCGTTCCATTTCTATGAAAAGTGACTTTGTAGTTAGGGTTTGTATTTCCAGACCTGGCACCTTCTATTATTGAATTTTTCTCTTCATCTGTAAGTTCTTTGACAGGTTTTGACAATGGTTCTGAACTTTTTGTTTGTGGTGTCAAATCTACCGTTTCAACTTCTTCGGTCATTTCATCTCAGTAAAAAATTTTAGTTTGGTTTGTTTTCAACTGGTTGTTGTTGTTTTTTAAGTCGGTCTAAAACTTCCTGAGGTATAGGAAGAACTTGACAAACACGTTGTGTAACTGCTGGAAGCCGACAAATCCATCTTGAACTTATTTGTCTCAATGCTGTATTGTTCATTTCATCTCAGTAAAAAAACTTTACATTCCCCACGTTTGAGGCGGTTGAGGTTGGTTATTGTTTACCCATGTTGTGCATGGTTATATCCTCTGTTAAAGAATCTTTCACCTTGGTCCATATAGTGTCCTGCTTGGTTATAGTAGTCATTTGCTTTGTTATAATAGTTTCCTGCTTGTCTTCCTACATTGTCCATCCATCCTTGAACTTTTCCTCTTGTTTCAGGATTTGGAATAAGATTTGCTGCATCTCGTGCTACATCCCAACCTTTCTGTACAGTTTGTATAATAGGTTGTGCTTCTCTTTCAGTATACCTAATGTACTCAAAATCTTCCTTCCAACTCCAAATACACCTCTGGCTATTGTTCCACTGCGGGCAAAAATCTGGATGCAACTCCTGCTAATGCGCCAAATAAACCCATTTCTTATGGGTTAAAAAATGACGAATCCAAACAAGGACCCCTATGTTTCTAAGGCGACAAAGAAAGCACTCATGGTAAAAATCTTTAGTTCAACACCAAATGCTTGGTTTATGGATATCTTGGAAAAATTCCGAGGTATAGAGAAGATGGACCACCATACTGGCTAATATTTGTCGGTCAAAACACAAGATACTGTGAAGCCATACCATTATGGTCCAAAAATATTTTAGATGTGAAAACTGCTTTGACAATATTCGTTGACAAATACCATCCAACAAAACTGACATCTGACTGTGAAAGTTCTTTCAAATCAGATGATATTAAAAACTATCTGCGTTCAAAAAATGTAAACCAATATTTCATTGTCGACCAAAACCATTCTGCTCTTGGTGTCATTGACAGTTGTATAAAAATCTTAAGAGACTTAAATCAACCACAAGGTGGTGAGGTAGATGAAATGTCATATGACGACAAATATAGGCACTTCTCCATGGCAAAGATGAGACAAGTTTTAAATATTTACAATAGCCGTAAACAAAAAGGTTTGGGAAACCACTCCCCCGAAGAAATGAAAAACAACCCTGACTTAGAGAAAGACTATATATTTAATAGTTTAGTCAAAAGAGACAAACAAGAAAGAATGCCAGGCTTCAAACTTCAGAAAGGTGACAAAGTAAAAATAGAAATACCTAAACGCGACCCATATGAAAATACTATTGACTATGACAACAATGGGAACTCGACAGGTACTCGCATTCGTGTTCGTAAAAATAGAAGAAAGTATACAAGAGAATATTATGAAGTTTTAGGCAAACATGGCAAAATGTACAGACTGCAAGCAGAAGATAAAACGACTATTGTCAGACCTCGTTTCAAACTTGTCAAAGTTCAAGGTGGTATACTTTCAAAGACAGTTCCTAACAAATATAAGACAACTCCTGACGAATATGCTAAAGAAGTTGAAAATGACGACTAAGCATTTCTATACCATGCGTAAACTGTCATGTAAGGTGGCATGTAGTCTTTACTTTGTCCCGTTGTTTGCGTATATCCTGAAACGCGATGTGTATGGTTTCCATCTCCCTGAGTGTCACCCCAGAAACAATTTATAGCAAACTGAACGTCGTCTTTAACATCATATCCTTTACCTTTTTTCATTGCTGACCAATCCCAAAATTTATGCTTATGCCAACCTGCTTGAGATGTACTTAAATCTATGTAGTGACTGTGTGCAGGTAAATTTTCACCTGAAATCGTTTTACTTCCACCTGTTTCCTTTGAAGAGTTTGCACAATACAAAAACCTGTCGACTATTTGAGTCCAAGTTCCAAAACCCAGAACTGTTTCTGGTCTGGTAGAGTTCATTGACGTATAAATAGAGCCTATAGGATATAATGTTTGAAGTATTTCTGTCTTTAATGTTTGAAGCTCTGTTTTGTCTGCTTTCTTGTCATATAAATCTTGAGCAGTGAATTTAATATTATGTTCATCCTTCATGACATAAACATCTTTACATCTAATGTTTCTCATCGTCGTTATGTCGTCATCCGATGTTAAACCTTGTGGAAAGTTAGGAGGTTTACAATATAATGCATCCCCACCAGTTTCTTCAACCGTTCCTTCAATACTTTCTATAGCAACAGTTGTAAAACTTGTATGTGTATGGTTCTTGTCTGCTTTCTTCTCTAACTCATCGTTAACATAAGTTTTATCTGCTTTAAGGTCTAAACATCCTGAAACCCATCCTGTATCGGCTTTAACTTTAAAAGTCTTCGATGTCCATTCATGGTACCAGTCAACCCTTTCTTTCATTTCGTTATCTTTTTCATCCACATATTCCTTATCTGCTTTCTTCTCTAACTTACTAGCCACATATTCCTTATCCGCTTTCTTTTCAAGGCTAACGTTTAAGTCTGTTATTTCAGATATAGAATGTGTATGAGTCTTTTTAGAATATTCGTTTTCAGCTCTTGTCACTTCACTTGACATTTTATTGTCAACATATGTTTTGTCTGCTAGTTCAGGATGAGTATGTTCTTTTGTTGCATAAGCATTGTTAGCTCTTTCTTCTTCTTTTGCTATTGCATCGTCTACATACTCTTTGTCAGCTTTGTTGTCAATATCTGCTTTCAAAAGAAGTTCATCTATAGGTTTCTCGTTTAAAGTTCCTTTTGTTGGATTTATACAAACAGTATGGTTCTTGTTGTCTTGAAACAGAAACTCGTCTGTCATTGGGTTTATCGTCAGTTTTAAGTTTCCTTCTTTCAATGACTCAGATATCTTAGAATAGTTTGAAAAGTTTGTTGTGTTCTTATTTAGAGCTTGCATAATGAGTTGTCGGTTGTGTTGTATTTCTCTCATAGACGCTGTTTCATTTGACATTTTTATTCTAGATAAAATATGCTTCCAATAGAAAAAGAAAATTCAAGAGTTGCTACAACTAAACCATTAGATGAACTTTTTACTAATGTCGGTCAAAAGTTTGAGACAGAGACCGTAAAGCATGAAGGCTATCGTTTTGACTACCCATTAAGATGGCTAAGAGACCCATCTGTCACAAAAGCTATTGGCTTTCGTAGAATGAAGTTTGTGTCTGTAGAAGATAAAAGTTTTCCATTTATTGTAAGGTTTCATATAGATTATATATCTGAAGGGAAACGAAAAATGTGGGAAGAAATTGAGCTAATACAAGTTGACCTTTCATCTTCTCTACAGACTGCGTTAAAAATATAGAAGATAAAATAAATTCATGTTATGCAAAATATGCTGATGAATATGCAAATACCGAGAGCACACTTTATGTGAGAATTGTATATGACAAACAAAATTCACAAGTGTCATTTCAAATCTACGAAGACAATCCAAAGAAAGACGAACAAATATATACAGAATTCACTGCAATGTCATGGTATTATTTGCAAAGAATGTTAAATCAGAAAGTCAAACTTCCTTTAGCAAATATTTACAGTCGATATGCAAGAGATGAACCATATTTATTTAAAGATGTTTTCGACTCAGATGCTATTATAGTTCATGCTTCATTTTCTGGTGCGCAAAACTCTTTTTTATGCTTGGCAAATGACTTTTACGAAAAACCTACAAAGTTATACGAACCACCAAGTGGAAGTATTTCAGACTTTCAAGTATGGTTTACTACAGATGGAAGAAAAAGAATAATTCCATTATACCATGCGTTTTACTTAGAACTTAGTTTCATATACAACTACTATCGAACGATAAAAATATAATTTTTTAATACGGTTGAGGTGTTGGATTTGGTTGCCAACTAGACTGTGGTGCAGGTTCAGGCTGTTGTATAACAGGAGCTTGTTCTTCTGGTTCAGGGTCTTTAGGTATAATACCAACGAACTGACCTACTCTTTTACCAATATTTTTGACTCCGTTCCAAATTCCTCTTCCTACGGTTTTTATTCCATTCCATATACCTCTTCCAACATTTCGAAAGAAGTTTCCAATACTACTGAAGAAACCCATTTTACTATATGTAAAAATCTAATGTCCGCCTAGTCTCTTACGTTTCCTGTTGAGTTCCATAGCATTCTTTAACTGGAGCTCATACATTCTGTTTCTCCTCTGGTAGAAAACATATTCTGGGTCAACTCCTGTGTTCGCGTCATCTGCATAAAGTTGTTTATATCCCACTTCAGGGTTTGTATAAAACTCTTTCCATCTCATATTTGCATACCATGGTGGCAAACCTAACGCAGCGTCATTTGACATGGCAGTTTGCATTTGTACATCTGTTGGCACTTGACCATAGTTTGCCATTGCAGTTTGTATTCTAACTTCATTTGGAATATTCTCTGGGTTTGGTTGTCCAGGTTGCTGTGCATTCGCTAAGTTCTGTGCGTCCATTTAATATTAGATAAAAATATCTCTTACGAGTACATATGCTGAACATTTGCAGACATTGGTTCATCTTCATATTCTCTATATCTTTCTGCCACGTCAAATAAATAAATGACACAATGGAAAAAACCTAAAACAAGTAGTCCTATTTCAAACCACATTTACTTACCAATAAAATTTCTTTATTGTGACACTTTCTCCAGTTTATAGGACCTCTCTCATATTCTATCTTGTCATATCTAAACTCATAGTCATGTATGTCCTCTAACCATCTCATAACGGTTTCCAAACCACTTTTATCGGATGTAAAGTAAAAGCATGGATGGTTATGTAAAACGTCTAAAGTTTCTAAAGAGTCTCTCAAAGTCCAGTCTACTTGGTATTGAAAATCCCATGTGTTATAGAACGGTGGGTCCACCATAAAGAAAACATTTTCCTTGTCTTTATATTTTTCATACAACTCTGTCCAATGACATCTCACAAACTCTATACCCTCAATATATTTTTCTATGTCCTCTTTGAAAACATTTGTATAGTTGAGATATAAAACTTTTGACATAAGTGTTTCAATGTCATGAACTCTTATAGCACCACTATATAATAGTCTAGCAGATATACTATCCCAGTCTATATATTCTGCTTTTTTCAAAACCTCTCTCACAATATTTTTCTTATCTAATGGTATACGTTCCATCTTACCTATAGGTATCTTTTCTTTTAACTCTTTCAATATTTTGTTAGTGTCTGGAATATGTTTGAGACGGTTCATATAGTTGTCGAAGTCATTGCATATAATCTTTGAGTCAGGAAATACGGTATGACATAAATGGGATATATAGAAACTTCCACCGAACAAATCTACAAATGTTAGACCATTCGGTAGTTTCTTAAGTTCTCTCAATATAATATCTTTACATTTACTCTTATTTCCAAAGAACGGTAACGGAGGTTTTGTAAAATTCATTTATATATAATAATAAAAATGTTTTTCCTGAAAAGTGACAGAAAAGTGACAAAACATGTACGAAGAAGTCTTGAAAATTCAAGAGGGTAGAAAAGAGGTTAGAAAAGAGGTTATATCTAACCTTCTACCCTAAACATTATTTTTGTCTGATTTTACGAAGAAGTCTTGACAAAACATGAAAACATATATAATTTGTGAAAAGCTCCTGGAAGACCCGTATATAAGAACTTCATTTATACTAAACATCTTCAGGGCTAGAAGGGGCGCAGCCCCTGGAAGCCCCAATACCTTTTTTTTTTTTTTTTTAATTGGCTTCTTGATTCTGAACAAAATTTAATACTTGGTATAAACGTGATTGAACTTCTCTTTTCAATTTTGTTTTATAATCTGTCAATCGAGGCTCGCGAATTCTAATTGAAGGAATAAAACCTGTTTGAAGTAAATCGTTTTTAATACGATAAAAGTAATTGGGTGCAACTTCTTCTAAAAGATTTTTGACAAAAACATCAATTCTTTGATTTTTAACGCAGCCAAAATCGTGATATTTTATCTTTTTAAATAAAGATTCAGAAACGTTATTCACAACGGTTAATTCATTTGGTCTGGCAGCGGCTATCCACATCATAGCCAACAATTCCTTATACAAAATTCAAAAACTTGGGTGCAATCAGAACTGATTGCACCCAAGTTTTTGAACTTTCTTGAGGGAATTAAAGGGTGAGAGATTTATAGTCTATCTATATATCTCCCACCCTCTAATTCCCTCCCTGACAGCGGGAAATTTTGTCTGAATGTTAAACTATTCAGACAAAGTTTCCCACTGTTTGCGAAGGAATTGTTGGCTATGATGTACTGATTCATGATCAGTACATCATAGCCAACAATTCCTTATATAAAGTTCAAAAACTTGGGTGCAATCAGAACTGATTGCACCCAAGTTTTTGAACTTTCTTGAGGGAATGGAAGAGTAAGAGGTATACATTATGAATATATACCTCTTACCCTTCCATTCCCTCTCTGACAGCGGAAAACTTTGTCTGAATGTTAAACTATTCAGACAAAGTTTCCCGCTGTCAGCGAAAGAATTGTTCCATCTGGTGCATAGAGTGTGAATCTATGCACCAAATGGAGCAAGTCCCTCGCGAAATTGCCAAAACTTGCGTCGCATTTCAAAGATTGCGACCCAAATTTTGGCGATTTCTAGTAGAGATGGAGTATTTTGAATCACTGACCTATATGCAGTGGCTCAAAGGGCTCCATCTCTACTTTGAAGCAAGGAAACTTTCCTCGAAATTTTGATAATTTGAAGAAAGTTTTCAAGCAATTAACAAAGGATTACTCGATATGAGGTAAAAATTCTAGATTTTCACCTCATAGCGAGAGCTTCCCTTTCATTGCTTGAAAACTTTCCCCAGCTTCAAAATTGGGGAAAGGGCTGTAAAGTCGACTCCGATACCAGCAGGTACCAGAGTATTTAAAAGAGAAGCCCTCGTACGAGTTTCTATGAAGACCTTCTCATTCAAGAAGATCTTAATAGAAAATCGTACGAGGGCATTGGAAACTCGCGTCTGGTACATGTTGGTACCAGAGTGTTTGAGATTTGAAGACTCTGGTACTAACATGTACCAGAATTTATGATGAATTTAAGATGGACCATTATAAAATGGTAGCGGTTTGTTTCAAAAAATTTAGATGAGATTTGCATAGATATAGATTATATGATTTATACATATGAAAAATAATATATAAAAATATAATTTTGAGATAATTATGTAAATAATATTTTAAATATTTGAATTTGAGGTATAATTTTATAGTAAAATATATTATAAAGAGTATTTATATAAATATTGTAAAATAATATAAGTAATAAAAATTGAGACCCCCTCCCAGTTTTTGATGTTTTGTCACTTTTTCGGTAATTCTTATTGTTTCGAGAAAGAAGGAGTTCTATCACTTCTTTACAATTATTTTCTGCAGCAATATGAAGTTCTGTTTTTCCAGTTTCAGTAAATTCATTGAGTTTAGCTTTATGAGATAGTAGAAGTCTTATTATTTCGATAGAATTTCCTTCAACAGCATAATGAAGGGCTGTATTACCATTCGAACATTTTTTGTTTATATCCTCACAAAAAGGAAGCAGATATCTGCAAAGTGATGGGATATTAAAGCTTGCTGAATAAGGAAATAAGCAACCAATATTAAAACATTGATCTAAACAAACTAAAAAAGCTTGGAGATTTTTGAATTCGCAACAACTCTCAAGGGAAATTTTGATATTGTGTTCATTCATCAAGAAACAAATAAAGTCTATATTGTGTGAAATAATTGCATATCGCATACAACTATCATCAGGTTTCATTACTTTCATGCATTCACTCATGATTTCAGGATTTCCACTCAAGAAAGAATATTGAAGACATTTTTCAGTGATTGGAAAATTATATTTTGTTCTTAGAAACTTAAAACAATTAACTGCACCATGATAACAACATAATTCAATAAGATTTAAGTAATTAGGATATAATTCTAAACTTAATCTTTGAAAGAGATCAAATCCTGAAGTTTCTGTAAATGCTATAAAACTCTCTTTGTCATCTTTCATAATTGAGCTGAAGATCGTGTTTTCGTCATGAACATACAATGATAAATCATATGTTACTTCATGATAGAATGAATAAATGCTTCTATGACCTTTATCTATTTTTTTTATTGATGACTTGTTTGCACTGTCTAAAACAATTCCATATTCTTTATACACAAAGTAATCAAAAATGACTGAAATGTTAGGAACTTGTATTGGATGATATTCGTCATAAAATTTTTTGAAAAGTGCTAAATATGATTTTAAGTAACCATTCCTGTAAATAATTATATTACTAAATATTTTTATGATCTGCTCCACGCAAAAATATTTGGTATCGATAAGGTTTGTTTTGATCTTATTGTATACAATGAATTAAATGTTTCAATATAGTCTTTATATGTCACTAAAAGTTCTGTATGGTTCGTAAGCTCACCATTTTTAGACATGCTGAAAGAAAATGCTTGGTAAAAAAATTCAATGAAACCGGCACTTGATTTTTTGATCAAATTTTTTTAATCGTTCTGACAGACCTAATTACTCGTTATAATACCGTTTTTCAATATAATCTTTATCTTTTATATGTTTACCATTTTTACCAGACAATCGTAAGAAAAAAATAATTGTTTACCACTGCGCTTATTCGACACGAAGTTATCACGTGCTACCGTATGAACAGGTCTAAATAGAGTTCACATTTATATAGATATACTCTTAGCTATATTTATTTATATATAAAAATCACTTGCATATTTATCAATTAAAATTGAAATGTAATAGAATTTTTCAAGTATACATTTAATCATTTAGAAGTAAATAATTGGATATTTTTATAATTGTTTCTCAATTTTGTATTTTTTAACAAAAATTCATAAATTTCCTTCATAAATGCAATAAATCGCTCATACATCATTACATATTATTCAAACCGCAGAATCTATACGTTTACAATCAAAATAAAGTTATTTTCGGGCTCAAAATGAAAAAAATATGGAATACCTGATCAATGATCCGAATATGTTGATATATATATTTGTAATTCACTAATTAAAGCGTTTTCTATCAAAAGATACATGCTTTTTTACCAAATTCAGTAATTAATGCTGTTCTTGTCCGAAGGACTATTATGCACAAAATTTCGAAGGTAAATTTTCTACTTTGAAAAACTACTGATTTATCAGTAATAGAACTGATTAAAAAAAGCTATTACATAGCAAATATATTTTTGTGATATTTACAAACGCACTCTCAATTGGACTTTATTTTGGCATAATTCCATTTCAAAAAAATTGAATTAAAATTTATATCTAATTTCTTGAAACATATCAGTGCAATCAATCTAGATGGAAAAATAAAAGTTATCGGATTTTTTGTATCAAAATTCATGAGTTAATCAGTAGTATCAATTGCGCACAGACTGTTATTACTATTGATGAATGAAAAATTGAAATCTGATTGAGTCAGAAAATGTTCAATCTTGAAAGAATAAACAAATCATGCTTAAACCGAAAACATCATCTACATAGTTCATATAGGCTTCATTTTGAATCCGTAAAGGCTTATTACGTTAATGTAATATAATTATCGAATTATTGTCCACAATTACCATTAAATTTAAATAATTAGATACTTTCTTATAATTTGCAAGCTGAAAATATGAAATATTTTTAAGTGTGTCATAGCTAATAATAGCCTTTTCATCAATATGAGAAAAGAGATGCCTGCTTTTTATCTTTAATGTGCCCAATCGCTAGAAGTTACTAATACAGTTTAATTTGATATATGATGTTTTCGACAAATCAAAATGATTCTATTATATTTCCACGGAGATACTTAGTAATCATAGAAAACTTATCAAAAATAGTGAAAAATAAAGGATTAATCCTGAAATTGCGCAATAGGCCAACATAATTGCTAGATTATCCATGCTCCCAAAACAATTTTTGGTTAATTGATGAAAATTAACCCATGATATATAGTTTTTTTATAATAAATAAAAGCTCTTCAGCTCTACAATCCAACGAATATGAACATCAGGCATTTCTTAGCTTATTCTATGCTACAACAGAAAATTTCAAAAACGATGCCAACAAAAGATTCAGATTTCTGACAAAACACAAATTGTACGGTATGCCTGTATCTGATAGGAAATTCTTAAGCCATACACTCCCATTCCGAAGAGAAGTTCTGAAATTTGGTGAGAACAGAGGTAGGGCAACGATAGAAAATTTTTGGAAAAAAAGTTCGGAGATCTTAAACGTATCATATTCCCTGCATGGTTTGGTATCTTCCGCCATGCGTTGTGCCAAACATATTGACACTTTCCAATAATTAATTTATGGTATGAGTCACAGAGTTAGATTATAAAAAGAAAGTAAATAATTGCAATTAGAAATCATATATGTCGGAAATCAAATGTTGATGAGCAGAAACCTTTTACTCATCATAAAAGAGATAAATCACTAAAGATTTGTATACATTAAAATTTGATATTTGGTGCTCGAAAACTGTCTGATGGGACTCCTCCAAAATGAACCAATCTATCGCTGAGGACCAAATTAGATGATGTGGATGGTGTATTCTCTAATTCTAACTTAGGAAGAATGGGAACAAAACGAATGACGACAACAACATGTCAAACATAGATTAAATATCTATGAATCAATAAAGTATACGTGCATTGAAGGTGATAACGATCACTTGAGGCTTATAACTCTTTGACTAAATTATGCAATAATTAAATATAATCATTTTTATATTTTTATACTGATAGTAATTAATATACTATCCTGCTTAATAAATGGTATGATCAAATTTGTTTGAAAATTTAATTATGTATATGAAACTATGTCTTCTATATAAAAATCAAAATTTTCGGACGAACCTAGATTGAACCTTTATGAAAATCTATCATTTTTGTTAATTGAGTTAATATGAATCTTTTACATATGTATATATAGCATTGATAGCTTATATAATCATGGTTTATTCCATATTAACATATTTTTTCAGTTAAATTTGTTAATAATATCATGTAACAAATTAATTCAAGATTAGAATGTCTACAAAATGCTAACAAATAAGAACAAAATACGATTTCTCGACTTAAATTTTAATATGGAGTAGTTTTTCGTTTAAATCTAATTAAAAATGAATAAAAACTTATCTTGTACTATTTTCATTCAAAGATTTTAATAATGTAAATCATGCATTTTCATAATTCAGTACAGTTCTTTTTAGAATTAAAGTTGATGAGGATGATATTTGTGATTTAAAATAATTTGTTAATGTTCACCTTTTATTCATCACCTTGTGGTATGCCCTAAAGCAATAGCATTATCAATTCTGCTGAATTGATCAACTCAAAATTCCAAAAAAAATTCAAAATTTCAAAAATGAAATTAAACAATTTGAATTTTCACATGAAAAAATCAATTTCGAAAAAAATTTGGAAAATCAAAGTATTTGATAATTAGTCAAATAATCAATTTACATCGTTTTTACTCATAAAAAACAACTAATTTTTGATTTTGATATCATATTTGATAAATACTCATTCCAGAGTTGACGTAATGTATTAATTATTGTTAGAGATATTGCTTTCGCAGCAAAATTCTTATTTCATGAAAGAAAAAAAAAATGATTTTATTCCAACAAAAACAAGTAAACAGATGAATGGAAACGTACTATATTTTCATAAATGTAGTAATCAGCGTGTCAGCTTTTGTTTATCATGTTCGAGTCAAAATGTATTAACTTGTAATAAGAAATATTCGAAGATTATATGAAGTATTGAGCATTCTTTGTAGAAATATTTGTAATTCATTACTAACATATATAATAAAGTTGTTTTTTTTTCCTTATTGCAATAATTTTGTCTGATTTTAATAACTTTTCATGTATACGAGTTGTGTGAATATGCATCATAATATGCGTAAATATACTTATTTGCGACGAATAATGTGGTTGCATAATGGAGGTGCTAAATTTTGATTTTTAATATGGGGCTTTGGTATGTATAATCATGTTCTTATCTCAACGTAGGAGTATTGGTGCAATATGATTAAAATTTACGAGGTTGATCTTAAATTGAATAATTCTGGAGTATAAATCACAATGCAGCTAATTCTATGTTAAAGATAGATACAGATTGTAGTAATCAATTAGGGAGTACAAATTCATTCTTTCATTTCTGTCGTATTGAGCAGAAAGGAAGAGATCATAACCCTAGGAAAAAAAGCCCAAATTTGTCACTTTTCATAGTACGTTAAACTCAATTCGCTCGGCGAATGCCGAGCACACGTACTCATCATTCAACATAATATTCTCATTCTTTGGTTATTATAGTGCCAGACAACACAAGATTTCAAAGAATTACTTGAGTTTTCAATTAATCTTAATCCGATTTTAGATTTATCGAGAACTCCATCATCACAATCACATACTTCAGTGCGGTAACTACAATTATCCATATACAGAAGGAAGTTCTTTTCGAACAACTCATTTGGAGTCTGTTTTGGAAAGAACTTCTTTCTGTCCGACTTAATTTCATAGTTCCTGATCAACCAAAAGACAGAAACCACACACTATCTACTTAGGAAAGGAGTTCTTTCTAAATCTTCCTTAAATTGAGATTTTACGAGAGATAACCCTTCTATTGCACTTAAAAATGAACATTTTGATATCTTTAGTATCACACATGGTCATATATAGTATTTCATCTACATGAATACATTCATCTTTCGAAGTCTCTCATTAAATGGGAGGCTTCGAAAGATGAATCGTTTTATTCATACAACTTTAAATCTCGAACACATTTAGAGAGTGAGTATATCATTTTATTCTTGTTTTGAGTTTATTCTGATTCAAAATTGCAGTGAAAACAGAAGTTCACACATCATATCTGAATGTGAGCTCATCTATACTTATACGATCTCAATACCTCCACTCTAAGCATAAGAGGTGAAGTTATATAAAAATTATCAGATGCGTTGAAGTCTCAAAAGTATTGCCTGAATGCTTGTTTCATATTTGTCCAAGTAGTTTCAATGAATAAATGTATTGTTTTTTATAATTTCGATTTATTTTTAGAAAATATTCAATATAAACCTTTATTGTGTTATTTACATCTCATAAATTCTCTGTCTAAATCATATAAAAGCGCGTTTTACCCCTATGAATCAAGAAATTCATTCAATATTCATGGTATATTTATTAAATTTATACGATTTACTAATAATCAATATTATATCCTCATAAATAGCAATATATTTTGGTAATCTATGATAATCATATACAATATTTGAAATCAAATTTTCATTAGTTTAGGTTCCTTGTTAATAGTAAACCATTATATTTATTACTAATAATAAAATCTATGTGTCGTATTGAAATTCAATAAAATTACTTATTCGGTCCAAAAAAACAAATTAGATAAAATTTTCCTTTTTTTATGTAATTTTTGTTTTTCATTTTTCTCAAGATCCTAAGTTATGTTCTAACTTTTGACATCATATCCTATCATGCTAGGCTATATATTATAGCATATCCAAAAGGCAAGGAAATCTATCAGAGAAGCCTTTTTGACCTATCGTTGCCCTACCTCTGTGAGAACAAATTCTTAATAGACGATGATGGGTGCTGATTTGAACCGCCCGTTTTTGAATGACAAATATTAAACTAAATTAGCAGTATAAAAATTAGGCTCGATCGAAGGCCAATTCAATTTTTTTTATTTCAACTGTATTTGAATTAACATTAATCTCTAATATCAAATATTCCAATAATAAAATATAATTTTTTGTTTGGTATTTTGGTCTCAATTGTCTCAAATATATTTTTTTTACCGATAGAAAATTTACATCGGTTATTTATAATAAATTTTTTTTAGAATTTTTTATCTCTAAATGGATAATGCGCAATCATTAAAAGCGCATGACGAAAAGGAGATTATCAAGGCTTTTGAGGAGCAGTACAAACTTGTTCCCGAAAACCGTGGCTATATCATTTCAGCAACTTTTGTTCGCGAATGGAAAAAGTATGTCGATTTCAGCGAAAAGAAAACAACAGGCCCGCGACCAGCAACCATCGATAACAGAAAATTATTGAACGAAAATAACGAGTTACGAAAAAATGCTATTATTAACTTAGAATTTGAAGTCATTACTCAGCAAGTCTGGGAAACATTCCATTCATGGTATGGTGGTGGCCCAGAGATTACTGTTGAAATCGCACACGATCCAATTCGTAATAAAAATGTTCCAGTTTTGAAGTACTCGACATATAAGCTTTGCTACGGTTCACAGCTTAAGACAATAGTCATCTCGAAGTATTCGCGTGTTTCAGATCTTTATACAAAATCCTTGGAATTATTTGGATTTTCACCAAATGATTACCATCTACGCAACTATGAAGGTCGAATCCCCGGCGAAATCCTCGATCAGACCAAAATTATCTGTGAGTATATGCTAAAAGACAATCAGGAGCTTCTAATTGAAGAAAACGCTCCCGATCCAACAAAAACCGAATTTTATTCAACGAAAGCCTGCTCAGTTGCCGACATACAAGAGGAAGTCATGCCCGATACTAAGGATATCCACTCTCTACAGCCCCTAAACAAGCGTGCGATCTCATTAGTCTCAATTGACATGATTGACCGTCCACAGCCAGGCACAGCCGGATTTCTCAACCTCGGCAACACCTGCTACATGAATTCTACGCTGCAATGTCTTTTCCATACTCCGCCATTACTTCATCTCTTCGAAGGCAACGAATGGACCAATTATCCGAACAATGGCGCTCTTCTCAGCGACTTTGTTGAGCTCTGCAAGATCGCTTGGAACGGAAATCAATCTGTTATCAACCCACACGCTTTCAAAGACGTAATCGACCGAATAGCCCCTGAATTCCGAGGTAGAGACCCTCACGACGCCCATGAATTCCTCGGAACTGTTCTCCGAACAATCCATGATGATATGAACATCGCGAAAGGCCGACCACAGTCAATAAAGATGACAAGAGACCCTATGCAAGCTTGGAATGCGATGAAGCTGACCGATGACTCCCCAATTATTGACATTTTCTTCGGAATGTGCAGACACACGCTCACATGCCCTAAATGCAATAACAAACAGTCATCGTTCGAACCATTCATGACTCTCAACCTTCATTTGCCGCCGAGAAAAGTTATTACGATACAAATTATTTTTGTCCCGGCAAATCCAGTGGAACCGATGCGTACCATGAAGCTGAAGGTCTTCGAGGACGCTTCCCTGGAAGAATACGAAGAAAGTATCTCTCTGGAAGTGAAAAGAAAAATTTATATCTCATTTGCGGATATTCAAGAGTCATCTCATCGGGCAATCTTCATCCCTACTTACAAAGCACCCGCTCAAGGTCACGAAATCTACGCATTCGAGATCTCGTCGCATTATACTTTACATGTCGTAGTTTGGCTATGCGTAAAGATCAAGAAACCTTACCAGAAGAACATGATGAAGATGGGAATGCCATACATCATATCGATTTCCAACGAAAATGCTACAACAATGGAATTATTGCGTCAATGCGACAATTTCTTCAGTTATCTATGGGAAGGACAACAAGAAAAGCTTCCTCCGGATCTCCAAGACCTAAAGGACAAGCTCATGTCCTTTGGAAAACCTTGCAATACAAGATTCAAAATCAAACTCGAAAAGAAACTATTTTCGAAGTCAACAACCTTCAAACCATTCGATGGTGTACCATGGGTATCAAAACGAAACGTCTACGCTATACTTAATCCTCAATTTCTGATTGATGGCCAATTTAATTGGTCAATGATCCGTAGACAGCTCAGACAAACAGCTACGATGCCTTCTAACAGAACGTGCTCACCGATCAATCGCTGTTTCGATACATTTTCCATGGAAGAAACTCTTGATGAAAAGAATCTTTGGTATTGCAGCGAATGCCACTCCAATGTTGCAGCGAAATCGCAAACACTCATCTGGAAACTCCCTAAAGTCCTCATAATCCAGCTGAAAAGGTTCTACCAGGAAGGAATGAGATTATTGAAGAACAATACATTCGTAAAGTACCCAATAATCTTGGATATGAACCCTCATTTCGGTGGACCAGGCACTGGTGGAAAGTACAGGCTCTACGGAGTGATGGAACACCAGGGATCTCTCACAGGAGGACACTACGAGGCTTCATGCTTCGTTGAGGGAATAAACCAGTGGTACCACTACTCTGATGCTTCTGCAAAGGAAATAACTGACCAACAGGTGATATCTTCTAACGCTTATCTTCTTTTCTATCAGCGGATTGAGTAATTAGTTTATATATTTGTTATAATAATAGTTCTAACTATGAGAGTAAAAATATTTTGTTTGTTTTAAAAAAAAATTAAGATTTTTTTTATTGAATCTTTACTTTCGAAAGTATACATTGGTTTTGTTATATATTGGCTATATGAGCATAGAATTTAAGATTATTTTGTTTGTTTTTTTAAAAAATTAAGATTTTTTTTATTGAATCTTTACTTTCGAAAGTATACATTGGTTTTGTTATATATTGGCTATATGAGCATAGAATTTAAGATTATTTTGTTTGTTTTTTTAAAAAATTAAGATTTTTTTTATTGAATCTTTACTTTCGAAAGTATACATTGGTTTTGTTATATATTGGCTATATGAGCATAGAATTTAAGATTATTTTGTTTGTTTTTTTAAAAAATTAAGATTTTTTTTATTGAATCTTTACTTTCGAAAGTATACATTGGTTTTGTTATATATTGGCTATATGAGCATAGAATTTAAGATTATTTTGTTTGTTTTTTAAAAAATTAAGATTTTTTTTATTGAATCTTTACTTTCGAAAGTATACATTGGTTTTGTTATATATTGGCTATATGAGCATAGAATTTAAGATTATTTTGTTTGTTTTTTTAAAAAATTAAGATTTTTTTTATTGAATCTTTACTTTCGAAAGTATACATTGGTTTTGTTATATATTGGCTATATGAGCATAGAATTTAAGATTATTTTGTTTGTTTTTTTAAAAAATTAAGATTTTTTTATTGAATCCTTACTTTCGAAAGTATACATTGGTTTTGCTATCTATTGACTATCTGAGCATAGAATTTAAGATTATTTTGATTGTTTTTTTAAAAAATTAAGATTTTTTTTTGTTTTATTGAATCCTTACTTTAGAATGTTCATATTAGTTTTATTATATATGGACTGTTTGAGCAAATCATTTATTCAATTAGCCATGATTTAAATTATTCAATATTTAAATTTAGAGAGACAGATTTTAACTTTCCAATCTGGTACTAATCTTTTCCTGGGTATTTCTATTCACATCTCAAAACCAGAGATGAGGCACTTATCAATAATGAAGTTTGAAATTTGAAAAATGAAAATATATCCCATAGATCTTATAGTAAACAATAATATTTTTAATGAATACTGGCATTAAGGCAAATTAGCATTTTTTTAGTTATTTATCAAATTTTGAATAAATTCAATTTTCAATTTGAAAGGGTGTGAATTCACATTCAATTTATGACAATCTAAAATTGTTCGATTACAAATAGCTGACGAGAAATACCTGTTATTTCGTTATTAATATGTGAATTCACATTCTAATTGATGTGTGAATTCACATTCAAAATTTTTTATTTCAAATTTAAAAAATCAAATCATTTTTGTAATTGTTGTGTTGAATGACAGAACAAAGAAGAGCTGCAGATGCATTTGACAGTCTATGGATCAAAAACAACTATTACGTCGTTGGTGTATGGCGCTGTATTAATTCAGACGCAAGAGATCTTGTAATCGAAAAGTTATGCAAATCTTTTGCCGGATTTCATACTTATTATGAGAATGGTAATTTAGTTTTTCATAAGAGAGAGGTTCCTGTATTCAAATTGCCAGAAAATCTTAAAACATTAGAAGAAATTGCAAATTACTCAGGTCTACATTTTGCTCGTCCTCCATCAGTTGCACTCGGATCAATCGCTGTATCAGAAGATGTAGTTGCTATTGTTGCCTCACACTCCGTATTTGATGGCGTTCTATTATCTATTTTAATGATTTGCTTGTTGAAAACAAGGATATCCCAGAAATCGGAATCAATCCTTCGTTGTTTGAACCATTTACTAAGCAAATCAACGAAGCAAAGAATTATGTTAAAACAATTCCATTTGATGAGGATGCAGTTAGATATAATCCTAATGATCAAATGCAAGTTCTTTCTGGTTACAGCTCTATCCAAATGAGAGAAGAAATTGATGCAAAAGATTTCAAAGTTTATGATAAAAAAGCAAATCAAATTCATGGTATTCCTGAATCAATTATTGCTGCTGAAATCCTTACAATATCAGCAATGAATGGAAAATTCGACAAGACTGGTGTATGGCAAGGTATAGCTACACGTCCATTTGCAGAAGGAATTAGATTAACTCAAGGCGAATATTTTGCTCATATGAATTCTATGGCAGAAAAAGTAAATGAAAATGATAGTGTTGATACACTTATTACAAAGGTAAAAGAAAATACAGATGAGCAAGTTCAAAAAGGAGCTCATTGGGCATTCCGCAAGACAATGAAAGATTCTCATTTTGAAGGAACAGCTATCAAAGGCACTCCACCAGTTTTCTTCCACATCGGAGAGTTCAAAGTCGGAGGTCCAATCAAAGATTTCCTTTTCTATTCAATTGGAAGTTTGGATCAAGGACCATCTTTGGATATCGTCACATACAACGTAAAGAAGTCTACAAGTAATATTTACTATCTAACACACACGCATGTTCCAAGTTATTTCAGTTTCAGAGAATCTAAAACTTGGATTGAATCAGTAAAATATGCATCAACAAGAATCAATCCATCCATGAAGATCAAAGATGCTATTGCAGAGCTCGTTGATTTGCAAAAGAATATTATGAAGAAGTATGATTTAGTTGAAAAAGTTTTTACATTTTGAAGTTAATCTTTTAAAATAAAAGCTTTCAGTTTATTGCATAAATGATCATGTTTTGTTGAATTTATATTATTGATATTCATAATTTTTACCGAATGAATCCATTAATAAAACTCTTCTTGATTCTTCATCTTCACGAGAAATTCATATAGCCTGAAGTTATATATGCTGTATTTTCTTCTGTGCACATCATGTTATTTGATTGAAAATATTTAGAGACTCATCTTTCATTGATCATACTTAGTACATCTGATCAAATCAAATCTCTAATCATCTATTAAATAGAGGATAAATTTTGTAGGAATAGTTTGGAATTAGCCAATCTTAGATTTTAGCACGATCAATAATGGTATTCATGATCAAAATTAAATACGAATCTCAATTGTTTTATTACTTGGATGAAATATTAAGATTTTTCTCGATGACATGGTATAGTAAATGTATTTATGAACTTAATAACATAAAAATCGTTATTTTTCAAATGAGCGAAGTTGAAAATTTGATGGCTCTATTAAAAATACTTCAATCTTGTGAATGCGAAAAAGACATTTTTGATCTGGCAGTTAAAATTGCTCCTATGCAACCAGTTTTAACCTATGAATCTGCACGATTATTAACTTTTGCGCTAAAGGAACAAATTAATCGAAAAAGACAAGCATACAAAACACTAAAATCAATTATAGAGCAGAAGAAAAGCCTTAAAAAAGATTATAAAGTCGGAAAACTTGTAGAGTCGAACGTTCTTATACTTCAGCAAGTAGTTCAGTTGTGTACTACTGCTATCAATACTATAGATAACTATTTGATTCCACAAAATTCACATGATCCAAAAATTACAGCATTATTAAATCTAACTTTTGGAGATCTTTTAAGATATAAACTAGAATGCATTAAAAACGAAAGTGAAAGGAAAAATATATTAAGAGATGCTAATTTTAGATACCAAAAAGCAGAAACACTTGCGTCTGAAAATCTACAGATTTTTGATCCATTAGTTGTCACGATTGGATTAAATTATGCAATATTTCTATATCACCAGCAGCATGATAGACAAGGAGCTATCAAAAGAGCCCAGAAAACTTTGGAAGATTCCAAGATGATAAGGCCAGACAAAACTGATGATTATCAGGACTGTATGCGTCTTCAACAATTACTTAAGGATAATATTAATCAATGGACTCACTTCGAAGACTAATTTTGATTTATTTCTTTTAATACCTTCAAAAATCGGATTGTTACTTACTTAGAACTTTATGTAGTTGTAATCATTTTCTTAATAGTTGAAAATTCGCATATATTTTTTCATTATTTTCTTTCTTCCAAATTTTATCTTGAAAAATACTGGCATTTATTTGTCCTTGATACTGTATAACTAATCTGTAACCAAAAGCTCCAAATAATTGTATGTTAAATATTCATTATTAAAGGGAATTCAATATAAATTATAAATTTAAAATTTATTGTTGTAAAATGTGCTATCTAATCATAATTTTTTGGGATTATAATATATGAATGCTTTGTTGACCAGTACTACAAAGCTCAACTACAAAATGCGAATTCATCTAGTAAGGAAGTTTTCTTTGGGAGCACAGAATTACACTAGTAATTAGTTGCATCTCAAAGGAATTAAGCCTTTAAAAGAAGAAAAAAATTATTTGAAAAATTAAAAAGAAAAAAATTAAAAAAGTAATTACTTAAGTAAGAGTCAGAAAATGTGCTTTATTCTTCCTTCTTTTCCTCCTGCTTCTCCTCTTCTGGCTTTGAGAAATCGACATTCTCGACATTGCCGAGTTCGTCCTTCTTCTCGTCTTTGTTAGCCTTGGCAAGGTTAGAAGCCATGCCCTGGATAAGTTCTGTAAGAAGTTCAGCAATTGGCTTCTCCTCTGGCTTTCCACGGAGGACGTAGGTATTAGCGCGCATATCAATAGCGAGCTCTGGCTTTGTGAATGAAAGACCTGTTTCCTTTGTGGCCATGATGATAGAAGCACCATCGATTCCACCAATATCGCGGCAACCCTGGCGCTGAGCAGCGAGCCAAAGCTTATCAGCCTCCTGGCTGCCTGTTGGGGCCTTCTTGGCCTTCCTGCGCCATGAACCCTTGCCACCAACTCTCATGCCAACACCCTTTCCGGACATTTTCGCGTAAGACCACGAAAAACCGTTTGGTCCTCACAAATTTTACTTATTTTTATAAAAAATGATGCTTATTTATAGAGAATTCAAATTTTACAGTTAAATTGAATTCATGTTATTTTGGATTTCTAACAATTCGAATTTGTTTGGAAGATCGCATCGGTAATTCTTAAATTATGATATTCATCTAATAAGAGTTTTGATTTCAAATAATACAATATCAAATTCAGGTAAACAAATCGAAATAAAATTTATTAGTAATTGAACTGATGAATAAAGCTAATAAGTTAAATTCTGCTTTGGTAAAATTTATTTTCACACTTGGTATGTCAATATTCCTTAATCAAGATGAAAATATTTAAAAAAAACAAAAGTAAATGAGAGATTTGAATGGCTAACGAAATGCACCTTGATTTTAAAGTAAAAATGATTATTAAATAAATATTGTTTTATAACAATTTAAACAAATTAATATAAATTATTACAGTAAGTTAAAAAATTCCGTGGAGTATAGAATATCCTGGGAGATTATTTTTTACATTTTTCAGCATTTTGTTTTTTGAGGAAGTCGGCTCGATTTTGGAGTTCGTCTATTTTTGATTCAAAGCTATCTAAGGTTGAATTAATTGACTGAGTCATTGCATCAAACTGAGCCAATTGCATATTAACTAATGCTTGTAACTGAGCAACCGAAATTTGTTCTTCTTCTGGTACCTCTGACATAGGAAAATTGTCAATTTTTTTTTATTTCATTTCTCCATTTATTAATTTTCCTTCTTTGAATCTAAGTATAACTGGGATTTGATGAATATAAATTTAAGAAACATAAGTTTAGATGATTATTTACTAAATTTTATTAAAATTTAAAACACAGGATTAAAAAAATCATCTTGTTAGCAGTTGCAGTTCAGTTGTTGAAGTCTAATATGATGTTTAGCACATGCCTATATTAAAAAGAAATTGAGAATGGAAAAATTAATCCGACCAACCGGATTCGAACCAGTGACCCCGGGATAACCACAATTCTACAGTCCCATGCTCTTCCAACTGAGCTATGGTCGGTTTACACTTTCTTAATAACAATTTAATTATTGATATAAATTCTCAATTTCTCCCGAGTATTTAATAATAAATATTGTTTCATTTTAAAAATAAATTAAAAAATTAATTAAAAATTCGTTTTTAAAACTTAATTACCAACCCGCAAAATTAAAATTGGACATTAATTTCATCAGCCTCGTTATCACTTTCATTGATGTCAAAAAGATCTTCATCCGACTTATTACCTGTGAAAAGAGGATTGTCAACAGTAGTTGTTTCGACATTTGTATTAGTTGTCATAGTTTCTGCCTCTTCTGGCAATTTTTCTTCCTGTTCTTCAGAATCATTATCATTGTTGCTTTGTCCTTTCTTCTTTATTAATATAACCACTACGACAATAACAATAATAATTACAATCAAAATACCAACTACAATACCTGCAATTAATCCTCCTTTACCCTTTCCAGCACCATTCGATTTTTGTTCTTCCTCTTCTTCTTTTTTGCTTACCTTTGCAACTATTTCCAAATCGAATGGTTTCTCAGCTGATTTCAATCCATCTTCGTCGATGGCATAAACATAAATCTTTGTCTTTTCAATTGAAGCATCTTCTGCTATCTGTAATTCTCCTTCGAAATGTTATATACGAAAACGATAAAAACAGTTTGATAGAAAAAAGTGACAACTTTACATGTCAAAAATAGGAAAAAGTGACATTTTATTCGTAATATTAAAATGAATCATCATAATCTTCTTCATAAGGGTCTTCATAATCTTCTTGATATTCTTCTTCATAATTTACTTCGTATTCTTCTTCTTCATTACTATCTTCTTCTATTTCAACCGGATTCGCCTTATTTTCTTCTTCTTCAACTTCCTCGCCTTCTTTTTCCCATTCATATTCTTCGATTCCTTGGAGCTCTGGCATCTCATTGGCCATAAGTGAACCTGGAAGAAAATCTTGAGAGACTCCATCCACAATCCATTTTGCCGGCATTCCCCTCTTCCAAATTGGAAGTTTCTTCCACATTTCAGATGGGCTATAGTGAATTTGTTTTCCATTCACATAATGAGTTGGTAATGCTAGATGAGGTTTAGCATTATAGTACTCAACCCATTGTTGAATCTTTGCCCATGACAACTCTCTGCTCTCTATGTTAGGCCACAAGCGCTCGATTTTCCCATTTTGGTATGGGCAATGGGGGACAATATATACATTATTGATCCCCCGAACCCTCATAGCCTTTAGGAACTCGCCTTTATTCTCGCCGCCATTATCGGACCAAATTGTATGTGGTGGTCCATAACGGGCTATTGCTCTCTTAATTACTTTCACTGTTTGGCTAGCATGTTTTGACGAAAGATGCTGCCATTCTATGATGAGCCTTGTGCAGTCATCAATCACAGCATAAAGAATCTGACTTCTCTTTTTGCCAAGAAAGTGGATATCAACGTGCCATATTTGGTTAGGAAAGGCAGCTAAGTATCTTGTCTTTCCTTTTGGCCGATAGGGTCCCCTTGGACGTGCCAAGCCTAGCTCTCTAAAAGCTCTTTCTACCATATGTCTTGAGGGGGATGTGGAAGAGGGTTTGTAAGATATTTAATGTTCCTCAGCTCAGATGGAAATGATAATGGAGACTCTTCAATCATAAGTCCGGAAGGAATTGTGGAAGAAATTTGATTCAGGGGCTTAAAACGTTCAATAGCGGAGAACCATGCTTGGGTAGGCGTTGGCTGTGGAACAATACCCGTCTTCATGTCCAAAAATGCCTCAAAATGAGATTTGGCATATTCGATATCTTTATTTATTTGGTTATAGGCGGAGATTATTCCAAGATGGCCATGCTGCTCAATTAGGTTTCTAATAGTTACCTTAAGATCTTTTGGTACATTAACTTTGGGTCTCCCGCGCTTAAGGGGAATAGACACAGATGGGTGAGGCCGAGGCTGAGTATTGGCAGAGAGCTGTTGCTGTGGGGGAGTGTTGGCAGAGAGTTGTTGCTGTGCCGAGGTGTTGGCAGAGAGCTGGCGTTGAAGATGAGTGTTGGCAGAGAGCTGGCGTTGTGGGGGAGTGTTGGCACAGAGCTGGCGTTGTGTCTGGGTGTTGGCAGAGAGTTGTTGCTGTGAGTTAGTATACATATCAAGGGTACGGCGGCACTGCGCGCCTCCTTACCCTTGATATGTGAATTTGACACTTTACGAAACCGTTAACGTATATTTTGCAACACAAACGACAACACTAACCTAACCTTAAATATTTACAAAGCCGCCAACCACTTCACTTCACTAACATTTTCACAAACGACTTCACTAATGTAAAAAAGAAACGTTCTCACTTACAAAAGTATTGCAACTCCTCCCATTGCTGTGCTTCATATAACAGCTCATAATCTTCTGACTCACTTTCTTCTTCATATAGGTCAAAATCACTGTCATAGTTTATACCTGTAAGTTTTGACAAAACTAATGAAACACGCTTACCGTTTGTATCATATGCTTGTATAAACTTTCCATTATGCTTGTAGTCATAAACGCTCAAACTAACTTTACCCTTTCTCCCTCGTATCTGATAGAATGTATTTTCACGAGGAACGAAGAACAAATTCTTGAACTCATGACCGTTGTAGTTTGTTATCTCAATAGTTTTCGTCATTTATATAAAAATAAAATAAAAAATAAAATAAAAAATAAACTTAAAAATTAATGATATCACCACCCTCACACGTATGAAAACATAGCACAAAAATAAATTTAGGGTAGAAGGTTAGATCTAACCCGATTTCTAACCTCTTTTCTACCCTGTTGAATTCATTGCTTTATAACTCTCTTCCTTTCTCCAACTCTTCTAACTTCTTCTTAAGTTCAGCAATGTTGTCCTCATGAAGTTTAATCTTCCTTAATATACCTTCTCTATCTAATGGTTGCTTTATCTTTCTAAACTGAACTCTACCATCCTTCATAGTATGAATGTAAAAACCTTCTGGAATAGTTCCTGATTTAATGTATTCTACCAAAAACTTTTGTTTCATTGCTTCAGTGACTTTATTTGTCATTTTACTCTAAGGTGAAGCTAGCACAGCGATAATGGATTTCATGACTTTTTAGTATTTCATGCAATCTTAACAGATAGCCTTACAAGTACTTCCAGTGTCCCTAGCTGTCCCTCCTTTTTATATAACTCCATGACATTTATAATCTCGCGAAACTTAACAGGTAGCATAACAGATTAAAATCAGATGAGGTTTTGAACCAAAATTTCTAAGCAACGTTGTCAAGGATTTTGAGGAACTAGGGACAGAGTGTGGCAAAGTTCATGATTTAATTTATTCTCTCACTAACAACAAACACAAACTCCAACACTAACGACAAGTACTAACTTCAGCACAAATGACAAACACAAACTCCAACACAAACTCCAACACAAACTCCAACACAAATGACAAACACAAACTCCAACACAAACTCCAACACAAATGACAAACACTAACAACAAACACAAACTCCAACACTAACGACAAGTACTAACTTCAGCACAAATGACAAACACTAACAACAAACACAAACTCCAACACAAACTCCAACACAAACTCCAACACAAACTCCAACACTAACGACAAGTACTAACTTCAGCACAAATGACAAACACTAACAACAAACACAAACACTAACAACAAACACAAACTCCAACACTAACGACAAGTACTAACTTCAGCACAAACTCCAACACAAACTCCAACACAAACTCCAACACAAATGACAAACACTAACAACAAACACAAACTCCAACACTAACGACAAGTACTAACTTCAGCACAAATGACAAACACTAACAACAAACACAAACTCCAACACAAACTTCAGCACAAATGACAAACACAAACTCCAACACAAACGACAAGTACTAACTTCAGCACAAATGACAAACACTAACAACAAACACAAACTCCAACACAAACTCCAACACTAACGACAAGTACTAACTTCAGCACAAATGACAAACACTAACAACAAACACAAACACTAACAACAAACACAAACTCCAACACTAACGACAAGTACTAACTTCAGCACAAACTCCAACACTAACGACAAGTACTAACTTCAGCACAAATGACAAACACTAACAACAAACACAAACTCCAACACTAACGACAAGTACTAACTTCAGCACAAATGACAAACACTAACAACAAACACAAACTCCAACACAAACTCCAACACAAACTCCAACACTAACGACAAGTACTAACTTCAGCACAAATGACAAACACTAACAACAAGTACTAACTTCAGCACAAACTCCAACACAAACTCCAACACTAACGACAAGTACTAACTTCAGCACAAATGACAAACACAAACTCCAACACAAACTCCAACACAAACTCCAACACTAACGACAAGTACTAACTCCAACACTAACGACAAGTACTAACTTCAGCACAAATGACAAACACTAACAACAAACACAAACTCCAACACAAACTCCAACACTAACGACAAGTACTAACTTCAGCACAAATGACAAACACTAACAACAAACACAAACTCCAACACAAACTCCAACACTAACGACAAGTACTAACTTCAGCACAAATGACAAACACAAACTCCAACACAAACTCCAACACTAACGACAAAAAGTAAATGTCCTCACTTCTTAACAAAGTAATATGTGCTTCTTACACCACCATAGCTCAAACGTTTCTTTTCAAACATCGATTGAAACTTATTTTGAGCCATTGGCTTTAGTCTCTTTTTCTTCAAATACGCCAAGAAATCTTCTTCACATCTTTTCACTTCATAGCCTTCTTTAAACTCCTCCTTGTTAAGTTCTATGAAATCCTTTATATCATTCTTTGTTGCAATGGCTTCTTCACGAACGACATCGTGAACTATTTCATCATTGCATTCATGTATGACCTCCTCACTGTTCTCATGAACTATTTCAATACTGTTCTCATGAACGACCTCCTTACTGTCTTTCATAAGCGTTTCAAAGTCTCCTTTACTCATTAGTTCAACCTCATGCTGTTCACAGTAGTACTTAAACTCACTGTATATGTCTTTGTTGTATGTTATATTGCTTCCCATGTACTCCATGAATTTTTCAAGCACTTCCTCATAATTCACTGTTTCTTTCTTTCCACAACCTTCTAATATCATACTTGCTTCGTAAATATAACTTCTTGCAGAACCGTCTCGCTTTCTACTTCTCTTCACAAATTCTCTCATCTTGCCACTAAATACATTTGAACTACATGCAAAGAATTCATTCTCCTTCGCAAATTCTTTATATCTTCTGTAGCACTCTGTACAATTCCATCCGGATACAAACTTTTCATAGAACTCCTCATAAAACATTTGGTAAGGTGTTTTGTTCATTTCGATGAGTTCTTGTTTAGCCCTGGTGAATGGTATCTTCCTTACATCAAATTCACTTAAATCTTTCTTCATGAAGTACGTCAGTAAGTTTGAATAAAACTCTTCATTAAAGCTTTCAATGAGATTTGAGAAATATTCGTAATTTCCTTTGTATCTGCTGCTTACGTCAATGACAACAAATCTTCTGTCGTCTTTGTCAATCTTTACTGAGTTGAAGTTGTTAGATATCATGATGATATTACAAACATTCTCTATCTTTCTTACTGGCTGACACTTCTGATTTAAGTCCAACTGAGTCTCTGTTACTATTGACTTTAGTGCGTCGTGGTTCATGACCTTAGACGTATCGCATGAGCTTAGTTCATTGCATACGATGAGCTTCATGTTCTCAATAGCAGCATTGAATCTACCAACCACATTCTCTATTGCCGTTATATTATTGTTGGCGTACTTGCTAATGAGCTCGCATAGAACATTACTAAGTACATTCTTACCAGTTCCTTGCTTTCCTATTAACAAAAGTACTGTTCCAGTCTTTCCACAAGGATTTTGAACGATGTAGGCGAACCAGTTCAAAACATACTCATAAAGCTCTTCATCCTCATTACATATGACATCATGAACATGTTTCAAATATCCTTCAATAATGCTTTCATCTATTCATTCAGTACCTCATACTCATATCCTCTGAAATAGCTGTAAATGTCATCTCTTTCGTCAAAGAATCTCATACCTGACTTCATAAGATAGTTCTTGTTCTGACCCGCTTCATAAATCATCAGTGCGTTCACATCCTTCTCTTCAATACGTCCTACATAAACACTCTTCATGAGCTTATTGAATTCCTTGCTATCTACTGACACAAGTGTTGTTGTGTCTCGTATTCCATCATAATCTTTCACTAGATATGTCATACGTGCTCCGTCAATAACGACAACACATCTTCTTAAGTCATTTATAACACTAGCTATGTCAATACCTTCTTCACTCATGTACTTATTTTTCCTCAAGTCCTTTAGTGTGAAAGTGTCTCTAAGTTCTATTTCAAGCAATTCATTTACACATCCTTTGCAATACTTCTCTATAAAATATTTCTGTCGTTCTTTACTAAGTTTCTTAACAGCTCTGAAGAACTATGTGTTTTGACTCAAACATCCTTCACAACTTCTCTCATTCATTCCTAGTTCTTTCATGTCATTATCTTCAACCTCTATGGTCTCATTGACTAAGGTCAAAGGGTTCTTAGTCATTGCTGGTCTTATCTGAAACAATGTTTGTGCAACAGGTTTAACTAGTTCAGCAACGTCCTTCCTTAATATGAATAAATGTTTCCACTCATCTTTGCTAACAGTTCTTTCATAACCACTGACAGTAATGATTTCATTTGCTGACCTTAGACGCTTATGTTCTATCATTTGTATTGCTTTTGTGTAAGGCTTTCGTGAGCATAGGTTGTATATGACATTCCTGCAATGTTCATTCATGCCAATAGTACTAAATCCTTTCTTTGCTGTTGAGTGCATAATATCCATTAGTTCCTGTGTTCGTATTGCTGTCTCATAAAATACAACAAGACCTTTGTCATCTATGACGTACTTACCGAAAACATTGCTTATATTCTTTAACCATGAAATAACATCCTCATTCATGCTGTCAAACATGAAGTAAGGTCTTACATACTCTTCACTTATAAGATACTCCACAAAATACTTGTTAAGCTCTATGTCCTCGTGAGCGATTTCATTAGGTTTGATATTAGTTCCTTTTGTCATTGCTGTCATGTACTTCACTCTCATAGTTCCTTTCAATAGCGTAAAAGTACTTCATTGTTTCATAACTGCTCTAAATTCTGTTCAAAATTCGTACAACATAACTTTTTAACATTAGTGAAAGAACATGAGCGAAACAACAACATCTAACATTACAGAAGAAGTCAATGACAATGCCGATGAAAACATTACAGAAGGAGCTAGTGAAAATATTGACGAGTTCAGTGAGGAAGAAGATATTGAAGACGTCAATGAGAACGTTAGTGGGGAACAAACTCAATGGGAAACATTGAGAAATCATGAAGATTATGAGATTTGTACGACATATCCTTTTACTATTCGTCGAAAGAAAGACAAACATATTATGAGTGAATGCTTAAATAATTATGGTTATATTGTGCTTAGTTTAAACAACAAAATGCATTTAAAGCATAGAATTATTGCAGAACAGTGGATTGAAAATCCAAACAATTTGAAAGAAATAGACCATATAAATCATGATAGAACGGACAACAGAATCTCAAACCTTCGTTGGTGTTCTAGATCTGAAAACAATAGAAATAAAAGCAAGTATGGCGATATAGTTTATGAGTTCGTTGATGAAATATCTGACGAAGCTGTTGAAATAACAGATTATGGTAAGCATTCGTTTGAGTTCTACTACTATGTTGAGAATGAAGACGCATTCTATTATTATACAGGTCCTAACTATCGAAAACTTCATATAAACTTTACAAAAACAGGTGCTGCTTATGTTTGTATGATAGATACAGAAAACAAGAGTGTAATTTTATTCATAAACAAATTCAAACGCTTGTACGGCTTCATGTAGGACAAACATTATTTTTCAACACTAACGCCAACACTTAGGACAAACATTCATGACTAACATTACTGTATAACATAGACACTGACTTCGCAGAAATAACACCTGGAAAACAAAGTTTAGCATACAAGTCAATATTTTGTGGAAAGAAGACCTACATAGACTTACTCACTAACGATTTAAATGAAGTTGCATTCCATGCACGTTGCAAAGGTGTCAAACAAGACGTCCTTGCTTTAACAGCAAATGAAATGTTTCCTGAAGCTATACAATGCTATTACAATGAAGATAAGAACATTCACATACCTGTTGGAACATATGACAAAGACTCTGAGTTCAGTTTAATGAAACTTTACAAAGCACTTCATGATGGTCAAGAGATTGGATTTGACTTATGTAAGTCTGCTACACCTGCATTTGAGGAAAAGTTTAACTTCTCAATAACGACTAAAACAAGCTTTATTCGTAAGTTGAAGTTCTGAGGTCATTTATTTTTGTCAGCAATGAGGTCATTCGTGATAAAAATAAGCCGCTAGCGGCAAGGGCGAAGCCCATGAGGTCATATATTTTTGTCATTTATGTATAACCATTGTCTCTCTTAAACTTTGCAATAGACAGCTTTGTTCTTCTTCCTTCTACATCTGTAATGTTTATATAATCTTTGTTATACTGTCTTAAGACATTCATTTGTCTGTATTGAGTTCCCATGAAATAGTAAAAGGCATCTTCACTTGGGACATAGTAGTAGTTCTCTAACGTGTGATATGAGTATTGTATAATTTCAACAGCGTCTTCAGGAAGAGAGTCAACAATGTCAAACCAATAGCCATTTGAACCAGAAATATTTCTCATGTTTTCTCTTCTTGTCGTCCATCTTAAGTTCGAGATATGAAAGTCTCCTCTGTCTCTGTTTATATGGTCTACTTCACGAAGTCCTTCAGGGTTCGGAATGAAAGTTTCTGCAACTATTCTATGTTTCATCAGCTTGTGTTTGTTTAAATTTACACAAATATAACCATCTCCTTGGTCAAACTCACTAACAACTCTTTTATTGCTTATACGTCTAATTGGATAAGGGTACTCTGAAAAGATTTCATAGTCATTGTCATGTTCGAGTGTTTGCCAATGTCCTTCACCTTCCATGCCTTTCACTCAAATAAAATTTTCAGAAAAAAATAAAACTAGCGTAGATTTTACAATACTGCGATGGTAGAGTTTAAGAGTTGTGCTTCAATGTAGAGACAGTCCTTATGGTCTGGAGGTAAGAACACTGGGCAGTTATGGTCATGAGTGGAGAACATGTCTATCCAAAACTCACGATTGAAGCCAGTTAATTTATAGTATTTAGGGTTAGGAAGTGGTGAAGTTCTTGTATGACCAATGAACTCATTTTCAACTCCCTTACTTAAGTTTGAATATAATATAGCTTGCTTTCTATCCCAAATGCCAGGTGTTACAATCTTTGAAAATTCATTTTTCCTCGGAAGCATTGCATCATAATTGAAAACATTTTTGAAATCATCACTTGGTTCAGAGATTTGAAATCTTATACGTAATGGATTTTCTTTCTCTTTAGCGACTTCATTGAATGGTGAGAATACAACAAACTGACAGTCATGTGTTCCATCTTCATTTTCATTAAATTCATAATGAAAGTCTATAAGTTGTGGCTGACTACCTTCTTCTTTCAGTTGTGCAAGAAACTCACGTAAAGGCTGTAAAGTTTGTACTTCAATGTTGAACTTTTTCTCGAACATCTCATTAAATGAAATCATACATTGCAACAATGTTGTATCGTCTTTAAAGTATTTGTATATGTGAATGTTTTGGGCGCTTAAAGACTGTTCGTCATTTTCTATCTCGACTTGAAGTATAAAGTCAACCTTTCTGAAAGCACGTGTTATATACATATGTTATGCCAATGTACTTCTCTTCATTTATGTTCACAATTCAGTCTGTTGGAAACTTAAACGTTACTCTGTTCCCCTTTATTTTGACGTCAGGGTTTTCACTACTGAACGCAACAGATAAAGGTATTTGTCTATACATTTAATTCGATAAAAATAAACCATTTACTCTTTCTTTGCTTCAGCTTCTTTAGCTTTTGCTTCAGCTTCTTCTCTAGCTTTTTCGCCAGTAGTCTTGGGTTCTTTGTCTTCCAGCAGCTAATGCAGCAAGTTGTTTTTCACTAAGTTTTCTCTTTGGTCTCTCTGGCTTTTGTTCTTGTTTTTGTTCCTTCAGTTCGGATAAAATTTGCTCACGAATTTCTTTCTTCAATGCTTCAACATCTATGACCCCTTGGGTCTTGTCCGTAGGGCTTGTCTGAGTCATTTGACTGCAGATAAAAAACAAAATTAAAACTTTAACCGATGTAAAATGAGCTTGTCAAAATCAGAGCGAGAGTCTATTATATTAAATGACGCAAGAGGAATACAACATCCTTTCTATTACGTAAGTCAGAGTAAAGATGGTAAAATATACGTAAGAAAAAGAAAGGTTCCATTAGCGAATGCAGAAAGCGACAACATTAAGGTGCATGGCACCGAGGGCGAAGCCCATGTTAAGCCTTCTATTCAAACTGAAAAGTCAATAGAACCAGAAGAAAAGAAGCCAGATGTACTTTCAATAACGAACCAAGAGCTTATTGCAAAGTTCGTGAATTTCATTGAAAAACAAACCGAGTCAAAGAATCCTGACCCGCCAGTGAAAGAAGTTGAGACAAAAGAGAATGTACAGTTCATTGAAAATGTCAAGAAACAACTTCCACCACGAATGCCAAGAAGAAGAGTGAGAATAATGAAGTAAATAGATATTTTTATCTGAAGTAAATACATGCAGAACGAACAGCTAAACGAATTTACTCCAGCAGAGCATATTCATCAGATTCGCTCATATTTCGATATCATAGACAATGCAGTTCAAATTGGTGACACTAATAGAAAATATTCTGACGCAAAGATTCCATCACAACCTGGAACTGCTAAAGATAACACATGGGTAACATTCAATCTCTCACCTCCTGGTGAAAATATGTTGGACCTTTACAATACATTCATTACGTATAAAATGGAAGGTCAATTTATTGTAGATAAAGAAATTGGTTCAGGTTCCAATAAAACAAACCCACCAGGATTTTGGATTGGTTTCGATGACGCTTTCTATGCAGTTGCTGGATATCAAATCCTTGCAAATGGTCGTATCGTATATTCTCAAGACAACGCAAGAGAAGAAGCATATATAACTTCAAACTCACAAACTACCGAACAAATAAAGAAAGTAGATGTTTTCTCAAAGACTCGACATGAAGATGTATGGAGTCATTCGGAACATACAGAACAGGACAAATTGTTAGTGGTCCAATTACAGCAGGAAAATCATTTGATTTTAAGCTTCGTTTAAGAATTCCTGTTAGAAGATTCCTTCCATTAGAAGCTATTCGATTTATTCCAGCTTTTGCAGGAAATATTCAGCTTAAAGTAAAGTTCAGTAGCGACGCCTTACAATGCACATCTATATCTGTAAATGATATCATTGCTTTCAATCCAACTCTTAAAGTTGCATTTGCTTCAGATTCAAATCCACCGACAAATAAATTTGTTCCATGGAATGAACCATTCACTATGATAACGAAGGCAGTAGAAGCTAGTGGAACAGTTACTATTACAACTGTAAACCAGCAACTATTTCGAACAAAGATGGATTTTAATGAATGTTTCATTCATCCAAAGTCATTCTCTTTAGACCCTAACATTTATACAGAACTTGTAGAACATTATACAAACGAGGCTTTATGTTTTCCTGTTAAAGTTATGGATTGGATTCCTATGGACGGTTCATTCTCAAAGAATACAGATAGTTCAAGTGCAACATTTACAGCAGCTTATACGCCTATTAATGTTAAAAGTATTTGGGCACTATTTAGAAAGAAAGACAACTATTATGTTAATTTTGAGAACCCTAAGTTTAAATATCTTCAGCTTTCCATGGAGCTTATGGAAATATGCCTGCAGAACCCGAAAAATCATATGGACCTGTATTTTTATGAAATGGTTGCGAACGCTTGCAATACAAACAATGATATGATAGGATTTAATGAAGATGTTATGAGGTCATTGGTGGGTGAGGTAGTGGAACATAAATGGGATAGCTATGACAACACACATTTCTTATGTGGTTTTCCAACAGAAGTGGACTTTTGCTTCCAGCAAGGTCAAACATCTACTGCTCCAATAACATACAAATTGTCTGTTAAAGGACCTATTGAACTAGCAACTGAAAATGTACCAAAGCCACTTATTGGATTTATGAGGATTGTTGCTTTGCCATTCAGGTGCGTGCAAATGGAATCCCAATAATAGATTAGATGACTATAACTTAGCTACGGACGACAGTGAGGAATAAAGGATGAACGTTTATTTTTAAAGCTTATAAATGAGTTCTTCATCAAGCTCTCGTGAACCTTCACCATCTATGAAACAAACTTTACCAAACGATTATGGAGCACCTATTGAATATTTCTTACGAGCTGCACAATGGCAAAGAGCAGTCTCACCAAGGTTAGGT